ATTTTGTATCATGTGTATCATGTGTACATTTGTATGTCATGATCAAAAGCAAAAGCACGAGGTGCAGGGATGGAAGCGTGGCACAGGATGTCGAAGCAGGCCTGACGGCGCTCATCTTGTGACCACAGAGAAGGGCGCGGATGGACGGGTACGACAGGGCTCAAAAGCAGCAAAGGATGGCAAGCGGGGCCAGGGGAATGCACAAGGGTGGGAAGGATGGTGTGGTTGGTTGGAGGGCGTTGGTGACTGTAACTTACCACCAACGCCCAGGTTGAGTTTGGAAGTGTCCGGGTCTTGCTTGCACATGGCGGCGAGATGGAAGACCTTGTTTGGCTAAGGGATACGAGTGGGTGAGATACAAGGTCGGGTGAGGCAAGTTTTAGTTTTGAGAAGAGCATGGCGTTGAAAAGCGGATGGACTCGACGCTCACCGGTGCAACGGGTGTCGAAGCGAAGAAGGGGGCATGGACGTGGGTTTGGGCGGGTTGCTGTTGTTTGAGGGCAAGCTCGTCCATTTGCTTGGTGACGGCGGCGTCGACGGCGACCTTGTCAACGACAGCCGATGGCTGGGCAGCAGGCGCTGCAGCCGTTGCGGGCATGGTGCTGATAGCAGCCGACATGGCGCTGAATGGAGATTGGGAGTTGTTTTTTTGAGTTTTAAGATGCTCGAAAGAGGCTTTTTTAAAATGCCGTACGGTTCTGCAAGGCGAGGAGGAGGGCATGAGCACGGGATGAGAACGCGTTTCAATAGCCGCAGAGCCCAAGGGCGAGAATAGTGTGCAAGACTAGGAACGGCAGAGCAGAGCTGAGACCCGTGTCATCAAACCTCACAGCAAGCAAAAAAAAAAAAACCACCAGAGAGAGAAAGCATTTCAACACACACACAGACACACGATCAATCACCATCACGTTGACGTTGACAGCTTTCAAACGCAAGAAAGAAAAAGAAAAACAAAGAAAAAGGACCATCACCACCATGGGATAAAAATAAATAAAAAAGGGCAGCGGAGCCTGATCACGGGGCGAGCAATGGTGCGTGTGCGTGTTGTGTGTAGAGCACGGCTCCATTGAGGCCACCAGGACGGACACAAGCAAGACCAGCAGAGGCATGCGAGGGGTCGAGGCAAGAGCGAGACGCATGCGCCATCTGGGCTGCTGCCACTTGCTCGTCAAGCAGTCTGCCACAACCCAGAGCAGCGAGCCTTCCCCGTCCCCAGGCGCACAAGCCCACAGCACACAATGTTCAACCCGCCATGCGCAAAACTTACGGCGAGAAGCACAGCTAAAAAAAAGCAAGGGAGAGGCGCTGCCAAAACGGAAGGAATGGAAAGAACAAGAAGGCCCGAGAGCCAACTTTACACTGCGAAAAGCAATGGAAAAATAGCATTTACACAGAGAGAGAGAGTTTGAGAGAGAGAGAGAGAGAGTTTGAGAGAGAGAGAGAGAGAGGCGGAGAGAGAGAGGGGGGGGGGGATGAGGCAACATCACACACCACAGACCCTGACCATTCAGTCAGTCAGTCATTCAGTCATTCAATTCATTCTTTCATTCATTCGCTCGTGCTCTATGTGTGTGTGTGTGTGTATGTGTGTGTGTGTGTGATGTCGTCGTGTTGGGTGTGTGGTGGGGTGTGTTTTTCAGCAATTCGAGCCTACACGCACCCCATCGTTGATCAATTTCCCCTATGGCGCCATTGTTAACGTTAACCCACACACATACACACATACACGCCTTTGTGCAACCTGGGTGAGGTGAGAGCATGTAACCTTGGGTGTGTGGGTGTGGGTGTGGGCGTGGATCGGTTATCAGCTTTGACGGGTTTTTGCGAGTAAATTAATAGTATGGCTGGGGTTTGCTGTGGTCTTTTGTCCGTGAGCGCCTTTTTTTTCACACAAATCGCGTTGTTTTGCATCAGGCTGTGTGCGAAGCGAGTTGATGAAGCGATTTATCAGCTTTGTGAAGATTGAATAACAAGCATAGTGTAAACTTCCGTCGCTCATTGAAACATTTGCGGGTCCAAGGCTGAGCTCATTGATGAGATTGCGTGACTGTTGCACAGCAGTCTTGGATGCTTGGATGTTGGTCAATCATGATCGGAGGAGGGTTGTATCGGGTTGTGTCACGGGAAGATGGCGGGCATGCATCACTCCACGACCAGTGGCGGTGACGTTGGCAGAGAAACCATGGGTATCCTTGCACCCGGCAAGCAAGGCGTGCGGTTGCGCCAGGCGACGCCGCACCACGGATTGCATTCCCAGGACAGTCAGCCTCCAGGAAACAATGCACTATTACGAAATGAAGAACATGTACCGTTTCAAAGACCCCATTATTGCGACATCGTTTTGTAATACCCCCTGCGCACACCATTCTCCCTCACTGCTTACGCCGCCTACCCTCAAGTATTGCGACATCGCGACAATACCTGTTGTCAACACTTGTCTACAACACCTTGTTACAAAACATCTGACATATTGGTCGATTTCGGGGTCCGAGCTCCCCGTCACCGCCGCGTGCCCGACCCTCCTCCTCCTCCTCCTGCTGCTGCTGTTCCTCCTCCTGCTGTTCCTCCTGCTGCTGCTGTTCCTCCTCCTGCTGTTCCTCCTGCTGCTGCTACTCCTTCTCCTTCTCTTCCTCCTGCTGCTGCTGCTGCTGCTCCTCCTCCTCCTCCTCCTCCTCCTCCTCCTGCTGCTGTTCCTCCTGCTGCTGTTCCTCCTCCTGCTGTTCCTCCTCCTGCTGCTGTTCCTCCTCCTGCTGCTGTTCCTCCTGCTGCTGTTCCTCCTGCTCCAACTCCTCCTCCTCCCCCCCTCCCTCCTCCTCTCTCTCCGGCGCTCGTCGTTGACTTGTCTGCTCCCTTTCTGCTGCTACCTTTCTGCTGCTCCTTTTCTGCTCCCTTCATCCAGCCTTCTTGATTCATTTCACCCCCTCATCTTCCCCTCCTCCTTCCAGCCTTTTTCTCCCCGCCGTCCTGTTCTTCTCATCCTCCATCCTCGACCCGGTTCAGGACAATGCCCCCTCCTTCTGCCACCTCACCGCCACAGGTGGTGGCCCTGAGCTCCAAGCTGAGTCGCAAGGATGATCTCCACCCCCTTGCCTTTGAAATCTGCAAGCTCGGTGGCGCTCCGGTTCGGCCTAGCTCTGCCCAAGGCCCGGAACAACCCTCAACCCGTCAGACCAGCGCTGCATCTCGTCTCATGTCGTGGCTGCTTTACCTTCCTCGTCCCAAACCACCAAACCAGGCTTGGCTCTATGAGCGACCCGATTCAGCGCTCTCCCATTGCTCTCAGTGCGCAACCCGGGGTGGCCTCGTTTTCCAGGTCTTGTCCTGTTCTCCGCCGCTCCAATCCCACTTGATGACGCTGCTCGCGACTCCCACTTGCCATCTCCTCTCCCCCGGTCACTTCTCATGGAATGATCCCACCTTGCTCTGCAGTTATACTGCGCCAACGCTGCTTCACCGCTGCATCGCGTGCTCTATCTTCTCGCTTGTCCCAATCCGGACTGCCCAGAGCGCTGCTGGCTCGTTCGTGGCGTAGCCGCGGTGCCGCCAGACCCCAACGACCCAGCTGAAGTCACACAGGCGGCTGCAGCTCCTGACGGCCCGGCAGCGGCTCCCGCCTCAACATCAGACTGGGGGGTTGCTGCTGCAGATGACTGGGGAACGACTTCTGCCACCAATGACACCGCTGCCGCCACCACTGCTGATTCTTCAGACTGGGGCCACGCTGCTGCCGATGACTGGGGTCTCGGGACCAGCGATCCCAGCAGTACTGCCGACGGCTGGACTTTTGATGACAGCAACCAGGAGGCCGCTGCTAGCGACAACCAACACAGCACTCTCGAGGACCTCTTGCAAAAGTCCGAGGCGCGCGCGTCTGAGCATCAAGCCGCCCGTACGGCTCGTGCCGCTCTCCCACATGGACACGGCAACGTCAAGCACGACCCCATCCCAGATTACATTGATACCGACGCCCACATCTTCACCGGCTTTAACATTAGTTTTTACGAGGTCTGTTGACCCTTGGGCGCAACATGGCGAACCCACCGCGCACCCCAATGCTCCATGCTCTCAATGCCGAATGCGTCTAGGAGCACGATGCCTCTTCTGGAGCTGACACGGGGTCTGCACCAGTTGCCACCGACGATCATGTGGCGCGCCTGCTCGCCGCTTACGAAGCTGCCAACGGCAGCGTGACGCAAACTTCTTCAGCCTCCAACGCCGACCTCGGCCAAACGGGGCTTCGCGCTGAGCGTGAAGTGCGTGTGCTTTTAACTCCCTCCACGCACATGAGACTCTGCGACTGGCAGTCAAGAGGCGAGGAGGCGTTGACACGCTCACTTGCCTCCGCCCCAATCACTCCCACCCCATCGGTCCCACCCCATCACTCCCACCCATCCATACACAGGTGCCACACGCCTCATGTTCAGCCTGGCCGAAGCTTATCCTTCTCAATCTGGTTCCCTCAATAGGACTACGAAGAGACTGAGGTTTTGCACGGGGACACGGCATTTCATCGATTCTCCGCCTGGCGCGAGCATTTCCCTGACGCCATCGCTAGGTTGGTGCTTCGTCTCTCCTCACCTGCCCAACTTGCCGGCCACTCAAAAGCCACCTCCTCCCATGATCCATTTTATACTGCAGGTATTCAGAGCATGGCTGCGTCAAGGCCATCTCCTCGGCCCAAGAACCTTTGCAGCTTCATGGCCTTGTCTGTCCCATCTGCACACGACCTCGCCTTGCATGTTGCCAGCTCTTACCCTCCCTACCCCCTCTGCTCAAGTATGATGCCCGTGTCCCTCGTGCGTGTTCCAGCTCTCCTTTCAATGCTTTTGTTCCTGGTGTGCCCACTCACCCATGCATCTCGATCCTAGGGCGCGCACGCAGGCATTGCCCTCGGCTGCGCAGGCGGCCCTGACTCAAAAAATGGACTTTTTGACCGCCGTCCTATACTGTTGCTTGGACAACGAGTGTGATGGCCAGCTGCTGGCGCAACATGGCGGGCGCGTTGCGTATTATCGTGAACAATTGCTCATGCAAGATGACGACGTTGGAGGCACCACAACCAGCGGTACTTTAGAGAGCGGAAATCTGGCACTTGGTGGAGCCCTCGTCGGCTCTGAACACGTCGCCCGCGTAGATGATGACGAGGATGACGCTGCAGAACACAAATAAGCGTTTTATAAGAGCATACATCGAGAATCGGAAAGTGTGGGGGATTCAATTGATCGTGCAGCGCTGCGCACATTCGGATAGCGCTGGATAACGAATTTACAATGTGAGGGCCCGCACAGTCCAGGGCCCGTGGCCCGTAAGGCGCAACTCCTGCGAATGCTCATCAACTAGCGCCGAGCGCTGCGAGATGGTCAGGATCGTAATGCCACGCATCTTGGCCAAGCGGTACAGCTCGCGCTCCACATCAACCGACACGGCATCCGTACACTGGTCCAACACACCAAAGGTGGGGCAGTGGAAGAAGAGACGAGCCATGCCCAGTCGCTGCTGCTCGCCTAGAGACAGCACGTCTTCCCATTTATCCTCAGTTGCCCAACCTCCTTGGCGCTCCACCAGATAGCTCAACTGGACGCTGGCCAACAGCTCGCTGAGCAGCGCCATCTGCTCTGCATCCATCAGATCTGCTTTGCGAGGATACGTGATTTGATCTGCCAGGTTGCCAGGTGCACAATAGGGCCGCTGCGGCACTAAGAATACCTACACCAGCCCGGAAAAAATGAACCAGCATGTTGAGAGACACAGCCGCCATCTGGCATGAGACGCGTGAGCGGGTTCAGATACCGCACTTTCGACAGCCGATCTGCAGTTGAAGGTTCGGGGCGGCGTAGGAGACCCTCACGCAAGGGCCAGAGGCCGCCAATCACGCGGAACAAAGCAGTCTTGCCCGATGTGTTGGGGCCGGTAATGAGCAGTGGCTCGCCGGATTTGACGCTCAAGTTGAGTTGGTATGTCAGGCAGTGACCTGTCGGTGTCACAATGCTAGCTTGCTTCCACACAATTTCGTCTTCGGCATTCTCAACCTATGCCGCGACACATTCTGCAATGAGCATCTCACATCGAGTAAAGAAGTGGGCATAGTAGGGGCATAGTTAGGGTTGGACGTTGATTCAAACCAGAGCTAGTTGGGAGCTATCCGGGGTCGCAAGCACCACGAGCATGTCTTCGAGCTCGGTGAGACGCTTGGCGTAGCCAGACAACTTTTGTAGGTGTTTGTACAACTGCAGCAACTCTCCAAAGGCCAGGAATACATGGGACACGGCCGAGGCAACGTAGCGTAGGTTGTGACCCAGTTCACCGCTATTGAAACCAGAGCAAAATAGAAGAGCAGTAGGCCCCGAAAACAAAACAAAACGCATTTGTCAAGTCGGGGCAAGAAGCAATAGAAGCAGGCGTTCAATGAATGGGGAGACGCGTGAAGAGTATTTGAGGGGGTGCGAAACCCACCCTTGCACGACATCCAGCTGATACGCTGCGGTCGGCGAGACATGGCGAGCATAGAGGAGTGAAAGACCCCAGGTGACAATGGAGGGCATTTGCTTGACGACCCAGTTGTCAGCCACGTTGTACCACAGCTCTTGCTTGTTCAAAAGCTCAGTGTGGGCGATGCAGCGATCAAAGGCTTTAAGAGCGATGGAGGCCTCAAGCTCGTTGCCACCGAAAAAGGCAATTGACTCAGCATGCGTGCGCAGACGTAGTTGCACGTATCGGAAGGCGGCTTCGAGAGACGCCTTCTCTTGAACCAGGCGCTCAAAGTCGGGGGCAATCCAACGAAGCAAACCTAGACCACCCAGGGCGTAGAGGTAGAGTAGTCCGGTGCGCTGCGTCCCAATCAGGGTCACTGATTGATAGCTGAACCAAGCAATATCGGCAATGGGCTTGACAATATCCGGAAACGTGCCAGCCAGGTCCAGGCAGAAGCGCTCCAAGTCATCTGTCAGGCGCTGGTCGATGTTGTCGACCGCGCGGTGGACGTGCACAAGCTTGTAAAAGGCCTTGTGCTGTACCAATAACTCGAAAAAGCGCTTGTGCAGACGCTCACGCCAGAGCACGGAGAGCCGTCGAGTCAAGTACAGCAGCAATGGGGCCATGACGGCTGACGCCACACACTGCACCAGACTGACGCCCACGAGGCGCTGAAAACCGCGCAGATCATCCAGCAGCAACAAGCGCACCGTGTCGCCATTGAGGCGCGCGATGCGATCCGACAAGGCAACTCGGGCAACCACCACGCCCACCAATGCCAAAAGATAGCTCGAGGCCGGATCGGCAAAGCGTGGGACCAAGTGCCGCAGAAAACTGAGGAGACGCGTGGGCGTGGGAATGTCCTCCACCATGGCGCGCGGGTCGGGCAGGGAGGCAAAATCAGCAGCAACAGCAGCACTGTAAATATCCTCCACGACGCTGTCGTCTTGACTATCATCTTTGGACTGCAAGTCTGTGGTGGTGGGTTCAGCCCCTGACTCACCGCCGGCATCGTCACGGTACTGGCCGTGGGACAGCAAGCGCGTGGTCGGGCCCGTGGCGCCGTCGTGAGTAATACGTTCCAACAGATACCCGCCGGTTCCATCGAGCTCAAGCTTGAGGTCGTGGAAGGCAATCAAGGCGGGCCGGTGACTGATGGTGATGCACGTGATGTTGTACTTGGCGCAGAGCTCGTACAAGCGACGTTCCATGTCGTGACTCACAGCGCTCGTGCACTCATCCAAAATGGCAAAGCGAGGTTGGTGGAAGAGGCAGCGGGCCATGGCCAAACGTTGGGTCTCTCCCAGGGACAGCGTTTCCTCCCAGTTGACGTTCTCGTCCGTCTGGTTGGAGAGCAGATGGCTTAGATCAACCAAGGCCAAGAGTTCCTCAAGCAAGCTGTCGGTCAGGCGCGCCATGACTGCGGCATCGGTGGCGGGGTAGGTAATTTGTTCGCGCAGGCTCCCCACCACGTTGTAGGGCTTCTGGGGCAGGTAATACACAGAATCGTGCAGACCAGCTTCGGCGCCGCCAGGCTTGACAATGGTGCCCTGCTTGATGCTCCAAAGGGCCCCCAGGCAGCGGAAAATCGACGACTTGCCAGCACCTGTCGCAACAGGGATGAGCACAGGCACGCCGGGCAGAAAGGAGCAAACCGAAGCAGAAGCGGGCAAGAAAAGCGGGCAAGAAAAGCGAGGCGTGGGCCACATACCGTTGGGTCCAGAAATGAGCAAGTTTGTTCCCACATCCACGTGGAAGGAAAGCGACTCGACAAGACTGTTTCATCATGGCACGGATAGGGGCGAACCGGTGAGTACAAACAGTAAGGCTGCAGGCCGGGACCACGTTCGTCAACAACAACAGCACAGTCTCACGCACGTGTGCCCCGTCGGCGTAACGACCTGAACATTCTTGAAAGCGATGCCGTCGCCATTTTCAATCGAAGCTTGCTGCTCCTCCGAGTCTATCCGCCGCCGTCAGGTGAAACAAAGAGCAGAGGGGGTCGGCGCCAGTTGCTGAAAAGCGAGCGTCAAGGCTTACCGGCGGCACCCAGTTGCTTCAAGAGTTTTTCCATGCCACCCAGACGCTTGGAGACACCTTGCAGCTGCATGATTTTGCGCAGGCTGCGCGCCAGGCCTGCGATTGCCGTCAGCTATGTTTCAGGTCCAGACAAAGTGTGAGAGCGTGAAGGGCGCTCAACAAATGCAAAGTGGCGACGGCGTGGAGTAGCAAAGGTCGAATGGTTTATGACAGGACCGAAGGGAGTGGTACCTGGTTGATGATCACGGAGGTGACGTAGCGCATGCGAGCCAGAGTTGCAGCGTTGCCTGCAGGCGTGTAGTCTGAACGCAGGGTGCCACCAAAAAAGGGACCCAGAATGACGATCATGGCCACGGTGGAGGCGCAATACTTGGTGATAAAGTCTTCCACCATGCCAAAGGTCCATTGTGTCTTGATTAGATGCTCAATGTGCTTGTTGAGGGCGCGAAATGCATCTGAGATGATCTTTGTTTCGCGGTACTCGCCGGCCAGGGCGGCAATCGCCTCGCTATGTGTAATCAGGCGCGAGGTGGCCTGCTTGAAGATGGCAGAGAGTTCCCCGCGCTTGGCGTGCAGCTTGCCAAAAGGCGGTGAGATTGAGCGCACAATCATAACGGCCGACACCACGTAGGCCCAGGTCACCATGGACCAGCCCATGGACGTCTCCTGCGCCAAGCGCATGGTAAAAAAGCTGCCGTCCAGGACCGCCTACACACCAAGAGGCGAGATGGGACAACGGTCAGGTAGGGGCCAAGGACGGCACGAGGATTTTCTTGTCGAAGGGCCAAAAACGCAAGCAGGGGTTGCAATGCAACGTTGCTACTGGACAGACCTTGAGTACATCGCGAGTAACGCCGGCCAGGGTATCGCAAAACTCAGTCACATCGCTTGTCAAAATCTAGCGCGAGTATGCAATGCACAATCAGCATGGGGTAAAGTACCGGTGGGTGCGCGGGCTTGGGTTCGGGGTGTCAGCGGCGGGTCGATGTGAAATTTTCGACGGGTCACGCATACCTCCTCGGGACTAGTGATGCGCTTGTCGACAAAGGAGAGCTTGTAATAAGTGAGACCTTTGAAGTAGAGGGCATGTACGTGGCGATAGAGCTTGACGCGCCAGCGATTGGCGATCATCTTGACCAGGTAGTCGATGCCACTCGTGAGGCTGGCCATGGCGAGCTGCTGCGCAATGGTTGCCACAATGTGACGGCCAAAGACGGGGATGTTCTGAGTGAAGATGGATTTGAAGATGGCGCCTTGGAGGCGAGCAATTCGATCAGAAAGGAGAGTGTTGGCCAGGCAAAAGCCTGCCAGGGCAAGCACGTGTTTCCTGGAGGGGACGCAATTTTGATCTGCGTGAGCGTTGGCGAGCCGGGCCAGTCGGGAGTTGGTTCAGATGTGATGCCCAACGAGCAGTCATCGCTTGCTTACCCGGATTGAAAGTTGAGTGAGGGCAAGACGATCTTGAGAAGATCGGCAATAGTGGCCTTGGGCAGACGTTGGCGCTCATCCGAAGCTGGCTTCTTCTTGGAGCGTCCGCCATCTCGTCCGTTGAGACGGCGAGATCGCTGAGAGCGCCTACAAGTGGAATCGCCAGTTGAGTCAGTAAGGGCAAGGGCGAAAGGATGGAAGGCGGGGGCGGGGGACAGGCTGAACAAGACCTCCAAGAGGCAAAAGGAGGTGAGATCGAAAAAACTTACTGCCAGACGGCAATGAGAGCCACGAGGGCCAGCACCGCTGAGCTCTTGAAGCGGTGAGCCTGCAACAAAGACAGCAGTCGACTCCAGGCCACTGCCATGATGCCAGATCAAAGCAAAGGATAGCAGAGACTCTTCTCCATGTACGGCGCAATCGCCTCGCTCCAACGCGCTAGTGTGTGCACTAACCCTCAAACCCTCGTATATCTATCTCTTCAACACTCCCCCTCACCCCCACCCACCACCACAGCGCCGTCCTCCAACCCGCCGTCGCCACTCAACAAGGCGCAGCAAGCAACTGCCCCTTTCCCCGTGGAGGAGGAAATGTAAGAGAGAGAGAGATAGAGAGAGAGAGAGAAGAGAGAGAGAGAGAGAGAGAGAGAGAGAGAGAGAGAGAGAGAGAGAGTTTGAGAGAGTTTGAGAGAGTTTGAGAGAGAGAGAGAGTTTGAGAGAGAGAGAGAGAGAGAGAGAGAGAGAGAGAGAGAGAGAAGAGAGAGAGAGAAGAGAGAGAGATTGAGAGAGTTTGAGAGAGAGAGATTGAGAGAGAGATTGAGAGAGAATGTTTGAGAGAGAGCGTTTGAGAGAGAGAGTTTGAGAGAGAGCGTTTGAGAGAGAGAGAGAGAGAGAGAGAGAGAGAGAGAGAGAGAGTTTGAGAGACAGAGAGACAGAGAGAGAGAGAGAGAGACAGAGACACAGAGACACGGAGAGAGTCTGCGAGAGAGACAGAGAGAGAGGAACATAATGACACAAGAACAGAAAGACAGGGAATAGAAAGGGAGAGGTGAATAAGAGATCAAGAGAGATTGGAGATTAGATAATCCGTGATTCGGAAGATCAGTGAGAGTCGCTGCTGGATAGGCGGCGGCAGGACAAGAGCACAGGCCCAGAGGAGAAAGGCTGCATTGATTCCAACCGTTTCAATTCACATGTCAATCAGGAAGCTGAGCGTCACTCATGTCGTCAAAAAAAACACAAAACAGAAAAACGGCAAGGAAAGCTTGCTCGTGGTTGAATCGACTCTGATCGTTTTGACATCATCGCCTTAGTCCGTCTCTTGTGAGTTGAGCTGGACGGGGGATGATTCTTGCAGAGAGCCAAACTCCATGAGGGGTCCCGGTGACGCGGGGGTGGGTGGGCTCGTTGCTGGATGACCTATGGTGGCCGTTGCAGCCGAGTCTTCTTCGGGCCCACCTTGCTGCTCGGAGCCAAGATGTGCGCGTCGATCGTTGAGATGATCATCCTTTGAAGCCTCGGTCTTTTGCGAATCAACTCTTGCGGGTGACGTGGGTTTCACAGAGCCAGATTCCATGAGTGGTCCCGGGGATGAGGCTGGGGGCGTCGTCGTCAGGTGGCTCCGTGCAACCTTGGCAGCTGAATCGTCAGACCCAGTCTGCTTGGCTCGTGGGGGCTCGTGATTGGCCTGCTTTTTCGGGCCGCGCACCCGCCGATCTTCGGGGCTAGGGACCTCACCCGTCTTGAAAACGCGTTGCAGCGTGTGAATCGACATCCAGCCGCGTGGCCAGAGTGGCAACAGGTTCTCCCGCATGAATTCCCTGCACAAGAACACGGCCAAGGAGCAGATGATGGACGGGGCAGAACGCGAGCGCCAAATGAGTGTTGATTATAATTTTTTTTTTTTTTTTTTTTGGCATACAGACAAAAACAATACTCACTTGACAAAATGCGTCCGATTCAGTCGCACATTCTTGTTGCTTTCCGTGACAGGCTGTCCCTTTGCGGCTTTAACCTGGACCTGGGCATCCTCCTCAACCATCTTATTCATTTGATGTGCCTAGAGGTGGCAGACATGGTATCGAGCGGAAGCTGGAGTGAGCTTGAATGACGTTTGCACCTCCACACAGCAAGGCCCTTACGAATACAGAAAATCTCGCACCTGTTGAGCTATGCTTGCGGGCCAGCGGTAAAACCGGAGAGGCTTGGTACTTTCCGTGCCATCCAGTTCACCGGCAGGTACGATGGCAGCAGCGGCGCGCGCCAGCGATCCAGGCGGCACAGGGGTGCCACCTACCAGGCTAGATGGGAGGATGGTGATGCCATCACCACTGCTGCCTACATCACCATCACCATCGTCACCATGACCGCCCTCTGATGCTGCACTGCCCCTGGCCGCTGCAGCACGCCGCCACACGTTCATGTCCTGCTTGTAACGCTTGACCTGGTGCTCGATTGTGGGCTTGAGCACATCTGCCAATGAACGCAATGCCAGCTCCAACGGCTTCAGAGGCTAATTCAACCAAAGTCCAAAGCACCGCAGAGAGGTGAAAATGCCAGGGCACGACCAGTCGTGAGGTGCCAAGAATACGTTCATGGATGATTCCAATACTGTGCCGGACATGGAGTGAACGGGCATCGAGAAACTCACCGGGTCTTGGTCAGAGAGCTTCTTGATGCGCACACGCCAGGTGTCGTGTTTGCCAGCTACGGCGCAGCCGTCGGCTAGGGTGCGCACCACGATCTGTCGTCCAGGACCATTGATAGCTGAGTGGGTGGATCCAGCAAGCACAACTTCGTTCCGTTTGGCACAAGCAAGTATGGTAGGCAGGAAGGCATACCGTCTTGTGTTTTTGCTTTAACGAGGGCCAAAAGCGGGCAATACTGCGAAATAAGGGAAAAAAATGGAGCGTAAAAGAAAGGAGAGAAAGGAAAAAAAGAAGAAAAACATTTGGGTCCCCAATGAGCACACACACACACACACACACACACACACACACACACACACACACACACACACACACACACACACACACACACACACACACACACACACACACACACACACACACACACACACACACACACACACACACACACACACACAC